TACGTTATATATTGTGCAATATTGCGCAATTTTCTGCACAATATTATGTCCAGACCGTAATTATTGCGCAATATTTCAGGGTGTAATAACTTGTGTAAGTTTACGTTAGTATATTTCGCTAATGTACATGTCTTGTTTATAAGTAGATACAATATACAATATAATCTGTGAATATGGAGTCCTCCATATAACTGAGATCAGGTCTCTGGCATAAGAGGTATCCAGAGGTAGTTAGTAGTCAGATAATAAGGTTTTATATTATAGTTGAGATATACAAACATTGCAGTTGTTATAAAATTTTTTCTTAAACCTAGCACAGGTTATAAAAGTGTATTTCTTGTTTTGTTTTTTTTCTTTCATTCTATTTGTATTATTTTTTGATAGAAATAGTTCTCTCTCAGTCTTTTTTCTTTTTTTTTACATCTCATTGTACTCTCTTTTTTTTTTAAAAAAAAATTTTTTTTCATTCTATTTGTTTTTTTAATTAGTTTTTTGTTTTGTTTTTTTAGTAATATTAGTGGTTTTGTATTAAATATAAGATCATTGCTTTCTTTTGCTCTCAGTAAAAAAAGAAAATAAGAAAGGAAAAGCTTTGATAGGCTAACAAAGTTTATCTAACTTGTATATATATTAATGCAACAAGTTGCATGTGGGCATATTTATCACAGCTGGATGATATCAGGCTTGCAATCATGAGACTCCCTGTTCTGGTTATGAATTATATATATTGTTCGAGAGAGTTCAACTTAGGGTTGTTGGTGATAAATTTACCATTATATATTTAAGGTTAAGTCTGTCTATATAATTTGATTGGTCAAAATTTTTTTAATCATCAAATTTTATATTGCACAAACACTTCTTAAGAATAACTAAGAGTAAATTTACTAGTAATTTACCAAATAGCCTGGTAAATTCACTAAAAAAAATTAAAAATTATAGTAAACCAACAACTCTGATTATTATTAGTATAAGTATTTAACAAAGAGTTAAAGCCACTATGGTATATACTGTGGCTAAACTTATATACAGTCTTCTACTTCCTTAACTATATCTTCAACTCCCTTAATACAACTCTCAATTCTCTCAACATATTTCTTATTTTTCTCAACTCTTTCTACTTTCTCAACTATACTTTCAACTCCCTCAACATGACTTTTAATTCCTTCAACATATTCTTTAACTCCCTCAACTCCCTCAACTCCCTCAATATAGCCCTCAACTCTCTCAATACAGCTTTCAACTCCCTTGAATACATGTTATATTACTCTTAACTCCCTCTTCTATTCTATAAAAGATATATAAAGAAAGTATAAATCTTTTCTTGTAAAGAGAGATTAAATACAGGTTTTAACAAGTATCTAGTTAGAAATTATTACCTTTCTCTCATAGAATTAGTTTAGTGAATTCTTTTTTGTAATGTATAACTCTCTCTAGGATTTTTAAATGAGGTTATCCTCTTGTCTTATAATAAATAAAGGTTAAAAATATACTATTCTAAGACTAAACTATTTGCTTTCTACTGTGTGTACTCTACATCTACTCCATGTACAGTAAAATCCCTATAAGTACACACTCTTAGAACCAGGCTTGCATGTACAATTAGAGAGAGGATGATTTAGGGATTAGCCAATAAATTTAGCATGAATCATCATGAAACTATAATATTAATATATATACTATATAATATATACTATAGAATTTTTTTTTTTTTTCTTTAATAACCGCGTACTAAAATTTTATTAAATATATAATGCTTAGTACAAGACCAAGTTACTTAATAGGGTATTAGACTAAAAGCCGGCTGTCTCTTAAAGATGCCCAACCTTGGTTATCACACTGATTTTGGCCACTATATCCCACATACGATGCGGCATATTTAAAAATATAATATAGCTAAGGCTCAGCTCCCATCTCAGAACCTCTTTTAATACTGTATATACTATATAATCAATCTTCGACTATTTAATATTTCTCTAATATTCTCAAGAACATTAAAATATTTATTTGAGAACTTTAAATTTGTAAATTTTATTATATTATATTATAATAAAACTTGCAAATATCCAGGATTTAATTTTGATTTTAAGACTTCTAATTGGTCATTATAATGTAATTATTATATGAGTGTATTTATAGAGAAATTTTTAATATATGCAGAACCCAAAATTATTGCATATGCAGAACATAGAGAGTATCTAAGTTTCAAGCTTGGGACCAGGATATGATGTGCATGTAGAGAGAGTATGCACTTATAGAGGGTACACTTATAGAGGTTTTACTATATATTTCAATAGCAAAATCCCTGCACTGGATAACCTTGTTACTGTATTATGTGGTTACAAGAAGGCCATAGTACTATGTATAGTTAGGCTTAATAGCTAGCTAAATTTTAATATTAATAATATAATTAGTTATAAATTATAACCAATTTAACAATTTGACTAATTAAACATATCAACTAATCAAAATATATAATTGATTATAATTAATTAAACAATTTTGACTAGTTAAAGCACATAATCAATTATAAATTGATTTGTTTTGCCCATATTCAATCAATAACTAATTATGAAGAATTTAACTAATTTCAATCTCTACTTATATATAAAATTTTAATTTTTTAACTCTCTTCTCTAAAAATTATCTGATAATTGTTAGCTTCCTTAGGTATATAGAGTAAAGCCAATAAAAAATACAAATTATTTTTAATAAATTTTTTTTTAAAATATCTCAATAACTATTTAATTAAATTTTAAAATTTTTTTAAAATAATATAATAGAATTAAAATAAAAAAATTATTAAATTAAATAATTGCTAAGATATTTAAGCTTAAAGTTAAAAAAAACTTTTACTTGAAAAAAATTTGTTTTTTTTATTGACTTTACTTTATATATTACTTTAGTATATTTACTATATTTTAAAAATAAACTAGTTTCAAAACAATCTAAACCAATAAATCTATTTCTAAAAAATTTAAGATAGTAAAAAGTTAGAGATCTTACTTAAGATTAAAATTAAAAAGTTTAAATAAATAACTCTGCAGTTAAATTGCAAATATAGCAGCTACTATATACAGTATACAGTATACAGTAATTATTTAATATACAGTATTTATAAAGTACCATCTTTAGAATTAAAGTATAGTTTAAAGCTAAAATAAAACATAATTTAAATACACAAGATTTTGGGTCTTTGTTTCTTGATATATATATGTATACTGTATATTATCCTAGTAATAACAACCACTATAAAAATCAAGTATTTATTTAATACATTATTACCAATTATAATAAATAGATATAAATAAGGTTGTAATTGATATAACTTCCTAATAATTTATGCAGTAAAAGCGAACAATAAAAAATATTGAACTAAATAATATATATACTGTACAGTATGTTAAATTTTTGAAAATTAATAATTACATAATTACTAGATAATCATACATACAGTATGTTTTTAATCAATCAATCTTAATCACTGAAATTCATTAATAAATTGCAGTTATATAATTTAGTAAATTCTAATAAGTAATCACTCATCATGAACTTTATGTATCTACTGTTTGAGCTTAAATTAATACAGTAAAACTTATATCATGCATTTGCTTGATATTATTACTTAATATATAATGACGTTAAAATGCTGTAGTAAATTGATAGTATACGTTATATATGTACTGTACTAATGAATAGTATATTTCATCAATTATAAATCGAGAACGAATAATAAAAAATAATCAGTTATGTTCACGTTTTGAATATCTCGATATGATTACGTAGTAAAAGTATTTTTTCGACTTAATTTTTTTTTTCAATTTTAAAAATTCAATAAATTTATACAATTTCAGATATCAAATTTTCAAATTGGTATAATTAGACTACGTAACTTGTACATTGAAATATATTTTGTGATTTGTACGTAGAATTTTGAAACCGTATTTGTTGATTCTTAATATATATTCTATATATAGGTAATGTCCCGTGCTTGACATACAAAACCTAATCTGGATTCAGGATATATTACATAATTATCAGATGTAAAAAAAGCATATAAAAACTTTGTTAATGCTTTTCAAAATTCTATCACTATCGAGTGAGATTTAAAAATCTCTTCGAGTACAAACGTCTTTTTGTGTCCTTATGTCAATCTTTTAGTTTTAACGATTTTGAGTCCGTTAATATTGAGACGAGTATAATAAGAATATACGTTAATAATATAAAACGCTAGATACTGGTTTTGAAAAACAAACATGCCATTTGGGATAGCATACGACGTTGTTACTACCTTATCGCGTTGGAGCATCTATGGGTTTTATAAAGAAATTAGAGTTGTTGGGCATGAAAATGTGCCAAAAGAAGGTCCGATTATTGTTTGTTCAACACATAGGTATCAAAAATTCTCCATTCAATATAGCTTAGTCGCAAGATAACTGATATATTAACTAAATTTATTTATTTATAATTTCATAAGTAATATGATCGTTGATCCGGCTGTACTTGCTGTTACATTCCCTCACCATAGAAAAATACATTTCTGGGCAAAAAATTCTCTTTTTAAAAACAAGTATACGAGGCCCATTCTAGTAGGCGGAGGTGTTGTCCCAGTAGATCGGACTACAAAGAATAACAAGGCGCTATTCTCTGCCACATTGGAAGTTTTGAAACTCGGTGAAGTCGTTGCAGTATTTCCAGAAGGTTATTTTTAAGAATTTAAACCGTATTTATTGTTTCTGTATTAAAAAAAAAAAAATACAAGATTAATAATTAGATTAAATTTCAGGCACTTCACATTCTGAATCTCGATTGTTGGAACTAAAGGATGGTGCATCATGGGTTAATATTCGTTGTTATAAGTGCTTTTATCGTTATCATTGCATTGAAAATTATATATTGTTAATTTTTCAATATGTTAGGCCGCAATGGAATATGCCTCACAGCAAGAGCATACTGAAGAATCCAATAGTGATGATGACCTTGTCATTGTCAAAAAGCGACAAGAAAAACAGATTGTAATTACTCCGTGTGGGATAACATACGTGCAAAAATCAAAGTATAGAAGTTCATTAATAATCGTGTAAGTATTATGATTTATTCACTGGATTATATTTAACTTTATACAAAATTTCTAATGTTTTTTTTTAAAAAAAATTTAAAAAGATACGGTCCGCCTATACAAATCGATCCATACTTCAAAGATTTTCTTCTTGATAATCGGACTGCAGTTAAAGCATTGACAAAACGCATCGAGTCTGAAATAGAAAAATTAACAATAAATGCTTCAAATTGGTTTGTTTTTTTATTTCTTATTTTAGTTATATTTATATTGTAGATTTCGAAATTAAGCTATCCTTGAATTAACTGATCATATGTTTTCTAATCATGTTTGCCACGAAATTCTCAAAATAAGCTACTCTTTAGTTTTTTTTTTTTTTATCTAAATTTGCGTATAACATGGTAGCTTATTTTTAGAAATCTACGACAATTGGTTCACAAGTAATGAAATAACTCATTGTTACCTACAATAATTAATCTTTTATTAGGGAAATTTCTAATGCGGCTTCAATGACTCGAATGCTTTATTTTTCTAATGACAAACTTGTTCCACTTGAAGATTATGTGAAAGTTACGCAAAGGTATGGTTAGTTTATTATTTGACAAGCTGTCCAAAGGTAATGCTAATTGAATATTATATATTTTTTAGTCTCATTAATTTTTTCTCAAACACAACGTCTGAAGAAGTAACAACATTAAAAAATTTACTAATCCAATACAAGACCTCTTTGGACGCGCTTCATCTTTCGAATCATGATGTCGCAATATATGAGCATAATAACCTTACATTGCCACGGGCTTTATATTCATTTTTATGTGAATTATTCAAATTTTCTATTCAATTACCATTTTTTCTGCCAGGCCTTTGTTTTCATTGGCCAATTTACGTTTTGGGTAAAGTTTCAGTGAGGTTCGAAATATATGAAGAATCGAGGGCTCAAAATAAGATTTTTCTAGGTTTAATCTGGCTAATAATGGCTTATAATGTATTATTCTTCTTTATTTGGAGTGTGTTGTTTTTTACACCTTTAGGGTTGATATTCTCGGCTGGGTCAGTTGTTATCTTTGCTTGGTATCACGTTGCTCTTGTTGATAGGTGGGTCCAATATATACATATATATATATATTATTTATTTTTAATGATTTCATTTTTAAACATCTCTAACGCCTTTCTAAATAATAATTATAAAGTCATTACGATACCTTTAAAGAATTGATTGCATCATTTAGATTATTATCAGCGCTTATTGGAGGTAATAAATCAAGGGACATGGTAGAAAATCTTGTAACAGCACGTGGGCTATGTTTAGATCAATTAAGAAAAGTCAGTGAAGATTATAGAAGTAAAAGTGATGATTTAAGATTAGTACTAGAAATTAGTGAAAGAGAACAATCAAATGATGGTCATGATGAGTTTTATGATAAAAAATTGACATAATTGTTCTTCACATAGCATAGCAGTAAATTTCAATTCTAATCAATTTTGATTGTCAGAGTGAAGCATATATTATTTATTTATTTTATTTATTTCTATTATTGAATGATAATGGGTTCTGGTACTTCTAGAATCCTGTAAAAATTTGCATCCTGCTTGTGAAATCTGATCACCATTAATTTGTAGTAATTATATACTTAATAAATATGGTATAGCATTTAATAATTTCTCTGATACATTATTATAATATTACAGTAAACTATAATTAAACAAATCTATATTCTGATTGTTGACATTATAATAATCACAAGAATTAAATTAGCTATTATAAAGAACTAATTTGAATCCAACAAAATCAACCTATTTTTTATTAATAAAAAAAGTTTCTATAACATTCTATTAACTACACACAATAAATCATATATTGTGTATTTAATATTAGGTCTATTGGAAATTAATTTTTAGCTAATCCATTTGACATAACCATGTCGTCCTCGATGCACACTTTTAATCCGTCATGCGCAGGTCTAATCCACAATCCGGGTTCCTTTTCTTCTAACAACTTCATCTCCTCAGTCAAACTGTAATGTTCTACTGCATGAGAAAAGCCTGTAAGATAAGTTCTTTTGGGTATTGGAACTAGATTCTTTGTTGTGTTAATAGCTTGCTGTATTGAAAAATGGGATGAATGTTCCTTATCTAAACGATGGGAGAATTGTGATATGTGAATTTCTAGAAGACAGATTCAAGGTTTTAAATGATTTTAAATGAAATAAGTAACTTACGATCCAAGGCATCCATAACTACGAGTTCACACCCATGAATTTTTGCGTAGGTGTCTTCTGGTATAACGTTGCAATCAGAAATGTAACATATATTATCAAAGCGAAAACCAATGGACATATAAGGCTCTTTTGTTGTGAAATAGACACCATGTTGAACTAAAAATAATTTATAATAAAATTTTACATATATTACATTATACTAAATACATAATTTCATTTAAGCATGACACAAAATGTTACCTGGTAGGGGAGTAAACTCTAATCCTTCAATAGTAAATGGTCGCTTCGAATCTATAACATTCCATTTAAACGATGGTATATCTCCACCACCTATGCATAAAGTTAATGTTTATTATTTTTTAATAAAAAAAAATGGTAATGATTATGCATACCAGTCGCTTGATTTGTATCCACCAGATAAGGAAACGAGATCTTGACATTATCTAAAGTCTCAATTGTCGTATATATCGGAATCTGTTCTTGTATTATTTTATGTAGCGTCCAAGCTCGTAAATCATCTAATCCATTTATTGCATCAGCATGCGGATGAGTTAATATGAGAGCATCAATTTGACGCAATCCATAATGTGGCCACCATTTCAATGCCGAAACTTATTACATCAATGTCATATGAAAATCAGTAAGAAAATAAGAAAATTATTGATGCATGAATAAATTAACAATTACCATAAAATGTTTTCCCACAATCTATAACGATATTTCTAATAATCATGGACCATAGAAGTTAATAGTCTGTATATTATTATTGAAATTGTATCTAGCAATATATTTAAAAAATTATCAACTATTCTGATAAAAGATATTAAAACTTACCTCACTCTTCCATCTTCATGATTCACCCTAATTAATAAACTGGTGTTTCGTCTTACATTTACTTCACCTTCAGGAGTACGTGTTGACAAACATGTTTTACATTTTGATTCTGGGTCTACCAAACACGCAACTGAAGGAACACCGGAAGAGGTGCCTGCATAAATTTAAATTTATTAGACCTTTTTTTATAATTCCGTTGAAGTTTAAATATTTACCTGTCCCGAGAAAAATAATTTCTTTAACCTTACGAATGGACAACATAACATAATACTAATCTGGTCGATCATTATTTATCTATGTCGGCTTAGTTGGCTTAGTCGATTAATCGATTTTAAGGTTCGTTTACTTTCCTATATTGGAAATTTTATTTAATAAAATCGATCCGGCTTTAGCCATAATTTGTTTAGCATATATATTTTTTTTTTTACTGTAACAATGTGATACAAAAAGGTAAATTATGTAATTTTTTTTTTTTTAGCTATAAGCAGAAAATTTTAATATATGCAACGGATATCCGAAATGAATCGAATCAAATCTGCGAGTGTCGTTTACAGCTGTTCGCTTTCCGAAATCTCTTCGGAATTACATCGCTATCTTCGGACTGAAGTTCCGAAGACAATGACGTGATTTCTGATGAGTAAGGTGCGAAACCGGAGATTTCGGGAAACGAACAAATTTTTAGTTTGTCCCAGAACTTATGGGAAACTGGTGTAAGATTCAGATTCAAAGATATAAATTTTCATATACGGCTTGAAATTACGATAAACTGAACGAATTCTTGACAAGAAATTATTATAGCTATTTTTTTTTGTCTTCTGAACAAAATCGATAATCATTCTTATATGAATTGAAATGATCAGAGGTTGAAATTCAACTCAAAACTGGATTAAAAAATCGGATATTATTCAATTTAAAAACCGGTTTATCGGAGTTTTATTATTACAGTATATATTTTGTATTAAAACCGGTTTACTGTATGCATTATTTATGCAAACCTGGTTTAGATTTTGTACATACTGTAATGGGTTACTTGCCTGTCCAAAATAAAGGTCGGAATAACTTATCACAATTCATGTATTTATTGATATGTGGATATAATCCATAATATTTATTATTTTAAGTAATTACCATTATATGAAGTAAAGCCATACAATTACTAAATAGATGAAACCACAAAATTTGAGCTGTTTTTTTACAAACGTCTACCTCTACGTCCACCTTTCCTACGAGCTTTTTTTTTAAAAAAAAAGCTTATGAATAAAAATTCTACGTAAAATTATAATAGACAACACTATGAAGATACTTACTGCTATCAGTGGGAATAGGAGTAACATCCTCAATTCTGCCAATTCTCATACCCGCTCTAGCTAAAGCTCTTAAGGCTGATTGTGCACCAGGACCAGGTGTCTTTGTACCATTACCACCAGTGGCTCGGAGTTTAATATGTAAAGCGTTAATACCTAACTCTTTGCATTTTACTGCGACATCTTGAGCAGCCAACATAGCAGCGTAGGGCGATGATTCATCACGATCGGCTTTTACTTTCATACCACCTGGATTTCAACAATTCGAAAATTGTGATAATACACAATGCGTAACACGGCGAAAAGAAAAACAGGAATTCACATCAGTTTTTTTTTTGTTCAAAAGGGATTATGTGTTTCACCACTAGTCCCAAATTTTTTTTTTTTGTAGCAATTATTGGAAGTGAATCTTGAGAGAACCTTCCAACAAATTGTATATTAAATAACGTATAGGAATCCAATTGTTCTCTATACAGATTATTTTACAATTTGGACATTCTCTATTAATTCATCTTTTCCCTACAAGACTCCACATCGCAAATTTATTAAAATGATCTATATGATTTATAAATCAATTCATACCAGTAACGCGAACGATAGTTTCACGGCCAGACAAATCAGTGACATGAACAAAAGTATCGTTAAAAGAAGCAAAGATATGTGCTACGCCGAAGACCAGTTCACCTTCTCGGACTTGTGGTCCGAGAGAGATGTTTTCCTCAACTTTGACTTTCTTTTGTTTTCTAGACTATAAATTAAAAAAAATACGGAGGCAAAAATGATTAATAATAATATTTCTATAGTGTAATTATTATATTACAATTTTTCCATAGATGCTGAAGGTGGATGAACAGAAATTACCATAATTTATTTATTTTTTTAGAACAATCAAAGGATAGGAATTCGAAGAGGAAGATCGATATTCTAAATTGATTTTTTTTTTTATAGTTTGCAAAAGATTTGATCGACCAATGAAAATTCGAAAATTCTATAAGTTGATTGGACAGATTGTATATTCTAATATCGATATCGATGTTTCTCAAACTTCTAACCGTTAAGTGATTCATCTGATATGTCTTCTCTACGTAACGCTGTTCATAGGCGTAACCACAAAGAACGAGCGCAACCGCGCTCCAGACAGAGATATGGGTTACTCGAGAAACACAAGGATTATGTACTTAGAGCAAGAGATTATCATGGAAAACAAAGCAGGCTCAAAAATATGCGAGAAAAAGCATATTTTAGAAATCCTGACGAGTTTTACTTTAAAATGATTAATAGTAAGACTAAGGTATGTGTAATATTTATTTTTCTCAAGATAACAGTTATGTTAATTTATTGATTTGTTTGGTTATTCCTTTAATAAATTTTAGGAAGGCGTTCATATAGTAGAACGTAATTCAGCCTTTTCAGGAGATATGATTAAATTGTTAAAGTCTCAAGATTTAAATTATGTTAAAACTCAACGTGATCTTGGAAATAAGGTTTGATCACCTATTTTTTATAATTGAATTAAATTTTGTAATCCAAAACTTATTGTCTTTTTATCATAGAAAATTGAAAAAATTCAAAATGAATTACATTTCATTGATTCAGATCTTGTTCAAAATGATATGGAAGTAGATGAAGAACTATCGAAAGAAAAGAATGAATTAAAGCAACCTCAACATATAATATTCTTTGATTCTAAAAAAGAAGGTTTTTATTTAATTTTTATTATTAATTTTAACCAAATTATCACTTATTTAACGTTTTTTAAATTTCACAATTATAGCCAAGAAGTTCAATCCAGCAAAATATTTTGACACACTTCCTGAATTAATAGATCGCAGGTTTAATAGGCCACGTATTAAAACATTAGAAAGTGATAGCATTATGATACCGGATAAAGAAGAATTACAAGTGAGATATAATTTTTATTTCATCTCCTTTAATTTCCTTATATATATCTTGTATTTTTGCTCACGTTAAAAATATCACAGATATTGCACAAAAATAAATTATTAAAATATCAAGATCTCAAAGCTCGTATAAAGCGACAAAAACAGTTGGAAAAAGCAGAGCAAGAATTACAAACTCAGAAAAATCTGATGGTTTGTTTTTTTTTTAAAGAAATAATCATTTTATTATTTACATTTCATTCTTATAATTTCTTATGAACGTTGAAATTATAGGGAAAAGGCCGTCGAGTTAAAATTGGTGTTGATGCGAATGGATTGTCAAAATATAGATGGAAAAATGATAGAAAGAAATGAAGAATGTTAGCTGTACAAAATTAATAGCAAAGTTCATTAGACTGATACTTGTTGGTAATTCATCCTTAATAAATTAATTAAAGGTTTAATTTTCATAATGATAGTAGTAAAATCTCTTATTTGAAAAATGACTTGAATATAGACCAATTTATCAAATGATTAGTGATAGTTGATAAATTTGTCATCAACTTTTTTTACAATTCATTGAGGATCGCTTATCAATTCTAATTTAATTTCACGAATAATTAGTAACGGAATTATTAAATGAACCACCTTAATCATTATCAATGAATCACTACTCGAAATTCATAATTGTAGCCTGATAAATGCCATAATCCCAGAAATCTTGGTACTTTGCGTCATTCTGTATTCATAGGTTACGAGTCGAATATATATAAATCACATACTGATACATATAGCACTCGATTAGAAAACTTGTACCAACCATATAAATAATTGCCGATTCGGATTTGACAGACAATTTGTATTTACATTTAATTCAGCAAATCTATTAGGATAATAAGCATTGATAGGTACTGGTAATAATTAAATTATTATATATACATTTCTATCGTTATTAGTTTGTTTTTGAAGTAATATTAGATGTAGACCTGTTATTTAAATAACCGGTTTTTTTTAATAATTTTGGCCTAAATTAAGCCTAATTCGGGCCATTATTCAAAATAACGCCCTTGCGCGTTATTTTGGGTATACAAAATTTTATATAAATCACTATATAATAAGATATAAAAAAAAATTACAAGTTTTACAAAGCTATTTTAATGAAAATTTTTTATGTAAAGTAATATAAATTAAATATTTTAAATGGCTAAAGTCGATATAATATGCTTATTTAAATTTATTTGAATCTATTTAAATGTTAGAATTTACAGATTCAATTGAACATATTATAATGTGTAATGTTTACTTCAAAATAATAAATTTATACTATACAGTATATCAACACAAAAAAAAAAGAAAATTAATAACACTCATATATATGCAGAATTTTGTCAAAAAAAAAGATTGTACTTACTATGCATTAGCTTAGCCATTATGACCGGATAACTATTATACAAAAAGAATGTTATTTTATCTAAAGAATAAATATGTTATTTTCTATGTATTGAAAGAATTTTTTGTAGTAGCGTTACAATAATAATATATTGTTAATCGCTTATATTGTCAAAAAAATAAAGGGTTTACTAAATATTTAAACGAAATATCCATAAAATCTATTAATGAAATTCTATACACACAAGAAGAAACAAAGTAATGATATGATAAACACACCAAATCAATGGAGAACATAACCTTTTTCATAACATAAAGACCGTTTTTGGAGAAATTTTGAACATTTCTAATTCGTCCATTCCTCTCTCTTGACCTCTACTTAAAGCAAGATCGTAGCCCGCAGCACGTACACGACTTAGCACGGGATCTTTAGTATCTCTCCCTTCACCAAAAGAAAACATAAAACTATCATGAGATCTTGCACTAGAAGTATTACTCCAAATGTTAGAGATATACATTCCAAATATTTCTTCAGTAGATTTTATTTTCATTAGCATTATGGTTTTAGCTTGACCGCCGCAACGTTGATGAAGAGTCTGTTGAGAATATCCATCACGTGAACCACGCATAAGTAAAGAGAAGTCATATGGAATATCGGTATGTTTATAAGGCTTGCCTTCTTTACGGTCAATCCAAGTGGCGATCAAAGAGGCATGTTTCAAAGTGATTAATTTTGAGTCAATGGTTTTTAATCTTGGATGGAATTGGTTAGGTTGTAGATCTGGCATTAAAAAATTCCATAAAACATCATCACACATCTTTCGCGGGAGAATATCTTTAAAAGGCCAAACTTTTTCACGGAATTGTTCACGAGTCATTAGAGTAAATCTAATAAGGGGTATACAATCTGCTAAAGATTTTTGAAAAGTAGAAGTAAAATCCGAACTCCAAGTAGTAGGATCATCGGAAAGAGTAGGATTTTGCACGAAACCCCATTTTATAACATTATTCCAAAGTTCGACTTCATCCATAGCAAGATCATCACGACGAAGGAGGGAGGTTAAAATGGTACTATCCAGACAATAAAAATAATCAGAATCAAATAATAGAGGAGGATCAGCACATATAGTTTCTAGACAATAATCTTGTAATAATTTGTAAGTTTCATGGCTGAAAGAGAAATCTAAAACATGATAAAAGTTTTCTTGCATCCAAAGAGAACGATTTGCAACAAGATATTCTTGTACTTCATCAATGAATTCAGGTAAAATTAATTCATCAGCGGCAGTCAAGAGGTTCAAAATAAATTCACCCTCTTGATCTTCTATATCTATAGTTCCTGCATAAATATATCTAATAATAATAGAAATATATAGTTTAAAATATATAACTATAATAGATATATATATTTTAAGTAAATTATTAAAAATAAAAATGCAATAAAAACAATTACTTGAGAATGATTTCAAAAATAGGAGGGGATACATTAGGCTTGTAAAATACGGTTTTTCCATCTTCTTTTTTAGCCCATTCTTTTGATAAAGCTCTACGAAAGTAAGGAGAATGTGCTCGTAGAATGACAGAATGAGCTTTAAAAGGTTTTATTATAGGTTCTTGACCGACATTTATAATTAGGTCATGACAGTCAGCGTCTTCAAGTAACTGTGCATAATTACGAGAAAAGGTTGCCCAGATTTTTGTCATATTGATAACTTTCGAAAGTAAAAGTAATTTGTGTTCGAAAGAATACTTTACTAAAATATTTATATGTAAGAACTCTAAACATAACGGGACACAATGTGACTACGGTGTAACGAGTTACAAAATTTGGGAGACAATAGGCTTAAAAATTTATGCTTTTTAATAACTGCAATAATAAAATTTTTATTTTACACAGTTATTGATAATTTAGTTAACAAACATTTAATTTTAACAATTGGTTCGATTTCTATCGCAAACCCAAATCATAAATGCATGCATATTATCATGTGAAGGCTAGAAAAAAAATGTATATATGTATGTAACTTATGTGCCAACATTATCAAGATTATACGATCATGAAAGTATCATGAATTAATTATTAAAAAAGGAAGTTTGGATTGTTATTTCAGTATTTGGAGGTTTAATTTTGCTGCCGTGTCATTCGATCATCCTTCTGAAGATTCATATGTGAAGTATTTCTGATGTCATCGTGAATTAACTCGTCATATTACACCTATAACACATGACTATAGTTTCATTAATTTTCTTTAATACTTGGGGAGCTACTTGGGGCATAATAATACTTATATATAGAAGCCTTTGTTATCATTATGTGTATTTCTTACTAATTATATCCAATGAATCGTGAATATTCTGTTTCACATAACTAACTGGGAATATGTTCAAAAGTTTTACAATAGCTTGCTGTATTACTAAAGCTGCAATTTCTCGAAATGCCACTCATTTATCCCACTGCTCATTTCCTCAAAAGCAACTCTAAACCTAACTATCGGGAAAATATCATTAATGATTTCCTGTAGATGAGATGTCATTTGAACGGATCCATTTTTTTTTACTCATCAATAAACTGTGCGGATGACAATCTGATCGGGATTATTGAATATCCGTAAACTAAACAGAATAAAAAATTGTAATGATCTCAATTATAGCATGGGTGATTAGATGCCATGGTTTTATTTAGCAATGTATGATAATAATATGAGAGGTTATGAAAATGGCAGAAATTTGGCAGATCAAGTAGTAAATTTGGGTAACATTAGATAATGATTGAAAAGAAAGTTTTAGAAGCTTTAAAGGAAGTTAGTAACACAAATCAAAAAAAAGTTTTTTCTTACATACGTATAAGAAGAGTCACTCGGGTGACCTGTATAACATCTGTTAATCGGTGACCCGAATTAATTTTCTGCAACACCAAAACATATAAAATTTGAGTCAATCAGAAAAATATATTCAATACCACACCAGATAAGATCATGTGTATATTTTTAATATCATTACTCGAAAATCATTTACTCACAAGCTAAAGCTAAATAAAATAAAAGAAAATTGAATAGATTAAATGAGAGATATGGTAACACAAATAATCGTATGTTCAATCTAAATGAATCAAATGAGAGATGAATAGTTTAATACTTCTATTTATTTTTAAAATTGGTTAATATATATTTTATAGATTTTATACTGTAGTGCAACACAGGCACCGGTATATACTTGACCGTCTGAATCTCCCGAAATATGTTTTAGACAGGTCAGCAATTGATATACTCAATTGAGAAAATTACCAATGGTGCAAATGGTCCAATGGAACCAATGGCTCCAATAGAAAATCTAACGAAGTCGATGAAGAATAGGCCTCCATTGGTTCCATTCAGAAATTATTCTCAATGCAATGTCAACGGAGTTGTTCTCCATTCGTCCCAATGAATATATGTGCAACCCTGAATTTAGAACACAACTCCAAATGCTTGAATAAATGTGTTTCGTTTATTAAGCCATAAATATTCGTCTTTACTTGCTACTAGGAGTGTGTCAATTCTGCCATTGAATATCTGTTGGTTCATCGAGATTTATTTGCTGCAACTAAATCATGAAATGATCAAATTAGAGTAAATATTAATGATATAGCATTTATACATATCTGTTCTCTATTAGTTTGCGCAGTGTTCATTGTATTTCCTTTTCATGAATTCTTTCAATTTTAAAATATTGTGAAATTAACTAAATTCTGAAATTACTAAAGCATATATTATTCAATCTAAATTCGTATTTGTTTTTGGCAAAGATACAAAAAGGATAAGTTCTTGGGATATTTGGTAACAATAATTACATTACATAGTTAAACTAGTATTATGAAACTTTGATCGAAAACTGCTCTTGTCTACGCATTTATTGTATTGAATTATAAAGATATGTATAGTTTTAAATGGATTACAGTTAGACCACACTCTATAAATGCCACTATGTAAATTCTCTCTAAATGAACGCTCTGGTATGCCTCTATAAATGTACGCTCTCTCTAAATGAACATTTTTAAAAATTTGTTCTATGCGAGGGGAGGTGCAATTACAGAGGTTTGACTGAATTAGGGATGAGGTTATATCGATACGTATAATGAAAAATCTCTGCATAATATTTACTACCTAAGTGCCGCACAAAAAATGCGCGGCAGATCCTCGATTTTGATTGGCTAACGGCCGAAATTTTGGCCCGCATTACATAATTTTCCGGCTGGAATTAACTTTTAATTTTTTCATTATAAAATAGAAAATTTTAAAAATAAGCCCGCATTGTGGTAAAATTGGCTCAGGAACAATTTTCAATGGGCGGCTGCGGTTTCATTAGTAAAATTATGAGTAATTCCGGCATATTTTTTGATCGTCGCTCTTAGCCAATCAAAATCGAGGATCTGCCACGCATTTTTTGTGCGGCACCGCATAAAAATTTTAATTAGTAATGCTTATCGATATATGAGATAATGAATTGCATAGTAACACTTATTAAGCTGA